TCTACACTGTACAGGTACAATATACACTATACACTGTACAGGTACATTATACACTCTACACTGTACAGGTACAGGGCTTTCCTTCTCATCTCTGAAGAGTCGTCCTAACTTTCTCATCGAGCTAAACATATTAAATATTATAAAATCTTAAAATCCAAACATTTGAGAGGTTTTTCAGTTAAATTGTACAATGTACTAAAAACTAAGACTAGAACTAGACCTAGAACTAGAACTAGAACTAGAACTAGAACTAAAACCAGACTCGAAAGAAATTGAGTCTTTCTCACAAACTCTGATTTTCTAATCACAATGTCTTTGCAACTTAAAGGCAGAGACCATATGATATTTGAAATTCTGAATCGGTTAGACAAAATAATTTAATTTTGAAATTTTAAATGTTTACACCATCAGGTTTGAAGAAAATTTTAGTTTTTGACAAGAACTGAGTTCCTTTGGTAATTTAAATTGTATTATCCGTTGAAAAATGTTTGAACCATGGAGAAATTTTATATATTTAAATCTTAATGATTTATAATTATTATCTCAAAACTAAGTTGTGGGTTATAACTTTTCACCAAATTGAATACCGGAATGTCGTCTTTTGTCTAATATATCCGTGATTATTGAACCCGATAAGGTTTGAGAGTCTAGTCTTTACCAATACGTACCAATGCTTGAGCAGACCATTGTATATTTACAATATGGGTCATAGAGTTTATCAATACATATATACATCAAGATCAGTCCTTGGTCATCTATTCATACTATATTTATATATAAATATTAAATATATAAAAACTACGCTTACAGGGCGCTTCACGCCCCTTCTCTTGTAAACCTTTTAGCAGTGCTTAGGATCCATTTAATTTTTATGCGGATCCGGATCCGAATCCTGGATCCGCGATGAAAAATGTATCCGGATCCAGGTCAACAAATAATTTTGAAATTTTTGGTTTTATTTTGTTTTCGCGTATTTTTACCCTAAAACTTGATGAACCATTCAGAAATGAGGAAATTTTTATAATCTCCCTTTTTTCAAAAGTTCAGTTTTGGGGTTTAGGAGTAAAAAATTTTTTTTAGCAGTTTTTGGTTAATATTTTACCCCTTGGATCCGGGTCCGTGGATCCGCATATTTTTGCGGATCCGGATCCGGGAAGCCAAGATCTTGCGGATTCAACGGATCCGGATCCTAAGCACTGCTTTTTAGCCGTTAATCGTTTCTCTTCATATCCCATTTTTCTTTGTAAATAGTGCTTCGTGGATTTTCAAAAATTACAAATGTCGACATTTTTTCGGGCAAATTTTTATCTGAAGCCGGCCATTCCATATGAGTTGCCACAAAAATATGCGACCTATTGGTTACAAACAAATAAACAAGCAGACAAACAAAGTAACAAAAATTTACTATTAATTATTTGGAATTATTTAAAGTGTGTTCCAATTTTTATTTTTCTAAATCTGATTCGAGTCACGTGTTCTGATTAATCCAGACATTACAAATTATTTTAACTCATGTGAGAAAAATGAAACATTTTTCACGGTTTAGAATTCTTTCTTATACAAAGCATGATTTTCCCACGGCAGTCAGGATGTCCGGAAATATTTACGTCAGATATAAAAATTGTCAAAAATTTTAAGAAAAAATCTCTGATATTTTTGTTATTTTAGGAGTTGCAATAATATGCAAATATTACTGAACTTGCGTACTTCTAATGTTAACATATGCTATGGGTACATCCTGTAGGTTTGCAGGGTGGAGTAATTGAGTTTTATGATATTATCTTCTCTCTCATGGTTTACCCTTTCTCTTCAGGTTAAGGTTCAGTTTCTCAGGGTTCAGTTTTCTCCGGATCCAAGTCTCATCTTCTCAGGGTTCGGTTTGTTTCTGAATCCATGGCCTAGCTTCTGAAGTTTTAGTTTTTATCAAATTAGCGTGTTCAATTTTCTCAAGGTTTATTGTTAAATATTGCAGAGATATTTGTTTTCTGTGATTTAAAGTAACTGAAGTCTATGGGCGTAATATGATGTTCAATTTGCATTTAACGGGTAACGTTGTGAATCGGACATGCAACTTTATAATCAAAGTTACGTATGCAGTATCTAAGCTTTAATTTTCTTAAATGTTCCTTAGGTTTATTGTAAAGGTTCTGTTTCTCTGGGTTCTGTATTCAGTTTGCGCTCAAGGATCAGTTTATACTCGTTTCTTTGATCTCTGATCTTGAAACATCATTTGTCAAACCAATAGTCTTGCATTTCCTTTCTATCCTTCTATCTTTCTTTCTCTTATATCTAACTTTTTTCTAATTTCATGTGTTTTTATTATCTATTTCTGGTTTTCTGATGATATCTATCTATCAATCTAGTTATTTCTGGTTCCAATATCTATATATCTCTGGTTTTGATATCTATTTATCTAACTGTCTCTGATTCTGATATCTATCTCTCTAACTCTCTCTGATTTTGATATCTATTTATCACCCATCTCAGGTTTTGATATATATGTATCTAACTGTCTCTGATTCTGATATCTATCTCTCTAACTATTTCAGATTTTGATATATATTTATCTAACTATCTCTGGTTTTGGTATTTATCCATCTGACTATCTCTGGTTTCGATATCTATCTATCCAACTATCTCTGGTTTTCATATCTATCTATCCAACTATCTCTAATTTTGTTATATATTAAGCTAAAAACTAAATTATATAAATAGATAATTGTGTTTAAAAACAAAGGAATTGAGTCTTTGCAACAAATCCTAATTTTCTAATACCTATATATTATGTAAACCTTTGATATTTCAAACTTTGATTGTTTGATATAACAGAAGTCATAGTTTGAAATATCTAACTAAGGTTTACAACATTGGGTTACAAAGATATGATCCAATTTCGATAATACTGTAACTTTCCTTTCATTATATTTGATTTGTTTTAACAATGGCCAGATTTTTCTGAAAAAAATTGTTGAAAAGAAAATCCTTGTCGTTATAACTACCATCAAATCTAATTCTATTTTATAGATATTAGATTAGGAATGAAAGGAACTAAACCTAATTAGACCGAAACTTCTAACAATTCACTCTTATAAACCAAATCTAATTATTTGTGAGGTTGTGATCTTTCTAACTTTTTTATTAAATTTTGTAGATTAATTTTATCTTTCAGTAAGGAAGACTTTTTCATCTTAGGTGTTGTGTATTAGGATAAAAAATGGAAAAAAAACTATTTCTACAAAAAGATCATTATATTTCTACCTTCAGTTGTTGGAACTATATATATATCGAAAAACAAAAATATGTATAAAGAAGATTGCTTGTTGTTTTGTTTTTATTTCTTTTTATGCTCTTTTATTTTGAAATTCCAAAAATTTGCATGATATCTGAAACAAGTGAAGCCTTCAAAATGGCGAGGATTTAGATACTTTTAAAGCGACCTTACCCTTTCCAACGAGCCTCTAAGGGTAAGGGTTCGCTGCATGTACTGAATAATTTGAATTTAATGAGCTGTGTACCCTGGTATCCACTATACACTAGCATACCTTGTATTTTCAAATATTTTTTTTACTTCAAAATTGTTTAAATCTATTTTCTTTTTAAATTTTTATTTTCGCAATTACAACCTCCTCCTTTCGCTAATGTCAATGTGAACAATATTACAGTCAAAATTTATTTAGATTCACTTATTGAAAAATGATAAAAAAAATAATTCTAATAAAAAATCCCAATTTTTCCAAAATTTTATCTAATTATTATTATTAACTCAGTTTTGTTCTCAGATTGATGAAGATATCGTTGATTTTTATCTTTAAAAAAGATTAAAATTCTGCATTAAAAAAACCCTTCACCAATGGATAGGAAAACATAGATATCTTCCTCATTTGCTACAAATGTTTAAAGTGTGAACTGTAGGGTCACTGCCCACTGGAAATCACATTAATAGTCCATTTAAGATTAATGAAATAATTCTGCATGATAAGTTTTAAGCCTATTTTTTTCTGCTTAGTTTTTGTCACCATCTTTGTCGTAAAAAATGTCATAAGTTAATCAATCTAATTTTCATCTGTATTAAAGGAACTGTCGACGTGATTAGAGTAACACTCTATTTTTATCTACTGAAGATGGAAAAACAACGATATCTTCATTATTGATGCTGAAGGGCTCAATAGTGATATTGTCAATCTGGCATGCCACTCTGTAAAAAGAGGGTCACTTGAAATTGCATTGACAGTCCCTTTAATGTTATATTTTGGTTTGTATTTGAATATTGTAATGTTTAGGTATGTATGATGNGTAATGTTTAATTATGTATGATTTTGTATTTGAATATTGTAATGTTTAGGTATGTATGATGTTGTATTTGAATATTGTAATGTTTAGGTATGTATGATGGACAGGAGCATACTCCCAAACTTCTACCCTGCTCACATACTGTCTGTATAGAGTGTCTCACAAGGTAAATAAACCTGCGGTAGATGTATGGATCTATGTCACACTTGTGTGTCCTAAATAGTTTATTTAGGACACACAAGTCACACTTTTGTGCGTACTAAATGTGTATCCTCAATTTGCGTCCTCGTGTGCGTCCACATAATATGTTCTCTTGTACGTTCTTAATGTAGGTCCTCAATTTGTGTCTCCAATGTGCGTCCTTCCTGTGTATCTTTCAAAGTAATGCAATCTTATTAGAGTTTCATTATTGTTGGGTCCTGCAAAGGAATTGAGTCTTTTCCACAAAAGCTAATTTTTTAATCCATATATCTTTGCAACCTAATGGAGTACAGATTATTCAACCTAACAAATTTCATAGTTTGAAATATCAAAGGTTTACAACATTGGGTTACAAAGATATATGGATTGGAAATTCAGAGTTTAAGGCAAAAACTTAATTCCTTTTGATAAATATTGCCAAACATATTCTCTTATTTCTAGTTAAATATTGAATTTATAATGATGATGATATTTAAAATTTGATCAGAATCGTTTCAAAATAAATTTACTCAACCACCCCCTTTCATTTCCTCCCACTCCTAGGCTTCGAATTTCATTCATTTCATTTACCTGAATTTCAATGCTTCTCAATTTCTACCCCTTATTGGAAAATTATTATTATTATTGATTGAGGATTGAAGGATGGTTTAATCTGTATAATTTTATACACGATCTGTAATATCACAGGAGGATGCTACAGTAGATAGTTGATCCAAGATTTATATAAACCATAAACTACTTTTCTCATCTTTCCCTTTTTAATCTTAAAATTTTCAATCCATGAGTATTTTATTTTATTTTGTTGGTTTTGACTTTAAGCTGATTGCAGAACAATTGAATTTTAAATTATAATAATAATGATATTTTCATTTTATTTCTGATTTTCCCGGATTTTCCTGATATGAAAACAGTGCTGGTTAGATAACACACCGGAGTAATTAGTGATTAATCTTCCGGGACCCTGGAGATATGGAATACTCCTCCCATCCTTCTCCTAGTATCCTCCCCTACATGCAGGGTGTCCTAGTCTTCCATCCTCCCTTACACAGGGTGTCCTGGTATTCTATCCACCTCCCCTACACAGGGTGTCCTAGCATTCTATCCATCCTCCCCTACACAGGGTGTCAAAGAAACTTAACCATATAGATCTACTTCACGATCAAAAACTTAATTATTTTCTTTGGATTGTATATATTTATTGTATATAGGGATCCATCATTTCCTTATAAAAATCTTATCTTCTGTACATAGCATCATACGTCTTCATACCCTTTTCCTACACTTTTCCCTATATTGTTAGTGCGTCATTATTGCTCTGTACTGAATATATCTTTACATAATTTGATTTATCTAGAGTGACTGAAACTCAAATTTTCTAATCCCTTTGTAACCAGATAGTGAAAATTAAGACGAGGTGATCTAAAGGAATTCATAGTTTGAATTATTGAAGCTCTACGACATCAGGTTGCAAAGATTAGCTTAGCAAAACGAATTTGTGGTGCGTGTTCATTTCCTTTCCTTCCTTTTGTTATCAACTCCGGCACCAATAAACATTTTTTTATCCTGACATTAATCTTAGTTTTTGCATATCCTCGCAATTCTACAGACAGCCCCTCCATCAATCTTATCCAAACATTTTGCAAACTTACAAGTGCCAATATCAATCTTTATCGTGTTTTGATAGGTTAAGTGAAAAATAGTTTCTAGCCAGCTTTGGCTCAAAATCTTTAAAGGATTGTCTAGATATTTTATTATAAAATTTATTTTGACCTGCGTTATGTGCTTACATTGAATTGGAAAAAGGGTTACTCTCAAATTTTTTAAAAGTTCATAATTTTTTCAAGAAGTTTTTTCCGCAGTTCCAAGTATTCTTAAAAACGGAAACGAAACTTTGCGACGTTTTTATCAATACACTGACGTCGTATTAAAACCGTTGATATCACCACCAACCGGTGTGAAAACATGAACGACCCCTTTAATTCACTTCATTGAATCATTGAACCCCCCAGAACATTACGAAATTGTTCCACCCAATAACAAATCATTGGTTGGTCTCCCTCCGGCCAATATATCTTATAGATTTGATTCACTACATCATCTTACTTTAATTCTCTAGGTATCATTTATATAAGAGGGGGTTTGCCAAGTAGTCAAAATCTAAAAATAGACGGTCGAGTATAACCCCCCCTCCCCCCCAATAAAAAAAAATTCTGCACACAATGAAGTTAATATCTATTCCTTTTAATGAAAACTCAGATTAAATATGTTTATATATTGAAATAAAGCAAAAGGATTTGAGTCTTTGCCACAAACTCTGATTTTCTAATGTCATGTTTTTAATCCAATGTCATAGACCTTAGATATTTCAAATTATGAATTATGTTAGATCAAATAATCCAAGTTTGAAATATCGAAGGGTTACACCTTCTGGTCGCAGAGATATAAGGATTAGAAAATTTTAGTTTGTGGCAAACCTCAGTTCCTTAGCCTGCAATGTTTTCTTTAAAAGCTTTAATTTTATGACATTTTTAAATCATGTAGATATTTCCTCTAATTGCCATTAATAGCGTTGTTTTCTTGATCTTAGTTACATAATCTGTTTTTGTGTTTTCTTTTTCTGTTCGTTATTATAGAATAGATAGATGAATAGATATATGAATAGATATATGAATAGATATATGATAGATAGATTAATAGATAGATGAATAGATAGATGAATAGATATATGAATAGATATATGAATAGATATATGAATAGATATATGATAGATAGATGAATAGATAGATGAATAGATAGATGAATAGAAAACTTTGTTTAGGATTGTTGCAACCTTTGCTCGTGATTCTCAGTTCCGGTGTCCAATATGCAGGGAGCTCATCACTATACCTCGTGGAGGGGTTCAGGTAGCATTCTCATTCATTCATTCATTCATTCTTTCTTTCATTCATCCTTCATTTATTCATTCATTCATTGTGTCTTCGATTTTTAGCTCCTTGGAGTTATTTACTCATGTATTTGCTCAATTGTGTATGACAGTTCCATTTTTTAGCAAATCAATGCAAATGCGTTTGACAAATATTATTTATCGTCAATCTAAACTCAATAGTTAAGATAAAGTAAAAATAGTAAGCCCGCGTAAAACAAGTGTCAAGTATTTAATGATAGACAACGGCGCACTGTAAAAGGTTGGGTTACATAATACACATCTTTTAATCAATCTTTAGTAAAACAAAAAATAGAAAGACTTCGATAACAAACTGGAAACAGGTTTACTGATATATCGTTTTGTTTGTATGCGTGAGCTTTTGTCAACAACCCTTAATTAAGAGGAAGTATTTTTTAAAGTTAAAAACTCAAGTATTTGCTCGTTTCAATTATTTATTCAGTCTTTAATTCATCGATTCATTAATTCATCGATTCATTGATTTATTGATTCATTGATTCATTGATTCATTGATTCATTGATTCATTGATTCATTGATATATTGATTTATTGATTCATTGATTCATTGATTCATTGATTCATTGATTCATTGATTCATTGCTTCATTGATTCATTGAATCATTGATTCATTGATTCATTGATTCATTGATTCATTGATTCATTGATTCATTGATTTATTCAGTGATTCAGTGATTCAGTGATTCAGTGATTCAATGATTCAATGATTCAGTGATTCAGTGATTCAGTGATTCATTGATTCATTCATTGGTTCATTGATTCATTGATTCATTGATTCATTGATTCATTGATTCAATGATTCATCGATTTATTGATTCATTTATTTATTGATTAATTGATTAATTGATTCATTGATTCATTGATTCATTAATTCATTGATTCATTGACTCAGTGATTCATTGATTCATTGATTCATTGATTCATTGATCCATTGATCCATTGATCCATTGATTTATTGATTCATTGATTCATTGATTCATTGATTCATTGATGCATTGATGCATTGATGCATTGATGCATTGATTCATTGATTCATTGATTCATTGATTCATTGATTCATTGATTCATTGATTCATTGATTCATAGGTTCATTAGTTCATTGGCTCATTGATTCATTGATTCATTGATTCATTGGATCATTGGTTCATTTGTGCATTGGTTCATTGGATCATTGGTTCATTGGTTCATTGATTCATTGATTCATTGATTCATTGGTTCATTTTTGCATTGGTTCATTGGTTCATTGGTACATTGGGTCATAGGGTCATTGGTTCATTGGTTCATTGGTTTATTGGGTCATGGGGTCATTGGATCATTGGTCCATTTGTTCCTTTATTTCAGGCTCTCCCCCCATCCTTCCTAGTAAATCAGCTGCTAGATCTAATGGCTAGCCAGAGGAGGGAAGTTGTTCCTAAATGTTCTATACATGCAAACCAGGTACTAGGATTGATAGATAATAAGAAAGAAAAAATGGTAGAAAAGATGTTTATGTGTATAAAATGTGTGATAATCATAGTCTTTTTTAATGTAAGATTGTGTTGGGGCATAAAATTATATAATTTTGTGTGTGGACGCATTGTTATTTCTGGGTATTGATCCATTCAAACCACTTGTAAGTTTCAAGTTTAGTCCCATCTTTGATGATATTTTCAAACTACCTAGTATTACCCAAAGTATATAGAGACTACAGGTATGGGCGATAAAGAAACTAGTTCCCCAGTAGTTCAAATACGTCACAGATAAATATACGCTAATCCTATCGCCCATACCTGTTTTCTAAATACCTTGGTAATACCGATCACCAATTTTAATTCTATCTTTCTGTCAAATGACAAAAACGGACTGTTTTCTAATGAATTGAAAAATCTGTTGTCTGAGTATAAATTAAAAGTACCCCTGAAATTATTCAATAATTATTTTTTAATTCAATTAAAAGCATCTTGTTTGCTGTTGGTTGGTAAGGTCTAGGTTGAAATGTTAGTGGAATTGGAAAGACAAGTGGGGAAACGATCAGAGTCCGAATTTAATGAATTTGAGCCGCGTCTCAAATCCGCCTTAAACCGGTTTCAATTGTGCGTCAGCTTAAATCTTGAAACATTGAATACAATTTTAAGTGGAACCAACCATATTTGAGCCGCGTCTCAAATTTAAACCGTGGCTCAAATTCTTCAAATTCGGCCTCTGAATCGATTTATGAGTAAAAACAACTCGATATTTAGTTCGGATACCTATTGCATATACGTCGGTTACCATATCATCCATTCCATAATATACCTTGATAGATTTATAGTTTTAATCCAATCTTGGTCTTTGCTATCTATTGAACCGATCTTAGGACACAAATTCAGGGTTTTTAACAATAGGCTTCTGTTTACCATAAAAATATTCTCCAAATAGTTTTTAAAATTTATTTGATCTCTGTCGTATTTCTTTTCCGGTTTGGATAACACAGCAATCTATTCTATGTGCACTTTACAGTTATGAAAATTATGCATCAACAATTAAGACCGCTTATCATATTTTGTTAGATTAGAAAATCGCAGAGCTATAGTTAAATTTGCATATGGAAAAAATTCTTCGATTTCTTCTGTGAATGTGAATAGTTTAGTTCACAGTAAAATGTGAATAGTTTAGTTCACAGTGAAATGTGAATAGTTCAGTTCACAGTGAAATGTGAATAGTTTAGTTCACAGTAAAATGTGAACAGTTTAGTTCACAGTGAAATGTGAATAGTTCAGTTCACAGTGAAATGTGAATAGTTTAGTTCACAGTAAAATGTGAATAGTTTAGTTCACAGTGAAATGTGAACAGTTCAGTTCACAGTGAATGTGAATAGTTTAGTTCACAGTGAAATGTGAATAGTTTGGTTCACAGTGATCAAGAGTATGACCTTGATCTTCAGCTTTCTAATTTCAACTTGAGAAATATTAAATATTTAAATATTTAATATTTCTGGTATTCCCCAGTTTCTGGTTACAGACTTTATCGGAAGGGGTGTGCACTGTGCACTGTGCACTGTGCACTGTGCACTGTGCACTGTGCGAGATTTAACTTTTTTCTAGAGATGGTTTAAAATCGGTTTTTATCACTCAATTGTTAATGACAATTAGTTAATCTTTATATTTAATGTTTTTGAATAAAATAAAAAATTATTTCGGAGTCTCCTTTGATATTAAGGAATTAAATTTACTAATTCATTAATTTTTTTATGGGGGGGGGGCGGTATTTTCATGGGTATTGAGTACACCCCTATGTGTGTGTCGTGAGGTGACATTTCTACTTTTCATATATTGATTAAAGTGGAGAGCTGCAACCTGCATGCAACCAGGAAGCTAACTGCAACTTAGAAATTTGCCCCTATAGGATAGAAAACTTATTTTTCATTTTAAAAAATCCCCAATTAAATGAACTTTTTATAGACAATGTACCTATGCGGAAAAATTCACATTGTTTTTTTTGGGGTTGATAAATTGTAAAATTAATAGAAGTCGTAATTTTTCTTGTTTTCCTTAAAATTTTCTTTATCACAGACAATGCACATCAATCTTGAAATAATATTCTTTGTATCAAAATATTGCATCGATTGATATTAAATTTATGTACTTTGTTTCATTCATTTTTTAGTAAAAAATTGTATGAAAAAGTTCCCAGATTTTAATCCAAGAACCTAGAATTGAATTAAACAATGACGGGGTTTCCTTAAACAAATATTTAAAGAGAGGCAGAAACTTTAAATATCCGTACTGTTTAATGAGAGGTATAAACTTTAAATTCTTAATCTGTGCTGGGGTGCTCAACCGATACCTTTGCCTGCAGGCAGTTTGATTTAAGTACCTTTACTAGATAATTTTCTCGGACATCCCCGTTTCCAAACTTCCAAGTGTGAAAATTGAGTTTAGTCCAAACCAAAAAATTTTACCTCCTGGTTGAAAAGGATTGCTTAGTATCAAGGACTTTAAGTGCACTTAATGTTAAGTATGGAGAAAGATATATAAAAGTACATTAAACAACTTCACAGTAAATTAATTTTACATCAAATTAATTTTACAATAGGTAACCGTTTTCTAAAAACAAATAGGTAAAGCTTTAAAAATCGAAAATTCTACAGGATTTAAAATCTTCTTTTTTCTCTTTGATTGTTTTGTTATTGTTGTGTTAAAAAGGTTTATATGGAAGGTTGGTATCAAAACCCATAGGGTTTTAAGAAGTTTGAACTCGTCTTAAACGTTCTTATCTCAATAATTTTCAAACCTGATGGTGTAAGCCTTTGATTAGTTAAACTTTGAATATTTGATCTAGAATAATTCATAGCTTGAAATATCTGAAGTTTATGACGATATAAGGATTAGAAAATTAGAATTTTAGTAAAATGATCTGTTCCTTTGCCAACAAAGGAACTGAGTATTTGTCACAAACTCAAATTGTTTAATCCCTATATCTTTACAATCTGATGATGTAAACCTTTGATATTTTAAACTTAGATTATTTGGTCTAACAGAATTCATAGTTTGGAACATAAAAGGTCTACGACATTGGGTAGCAAAAATATAGAGATTAGAAAAGTAGAGTTTGTGACAAAAACTCAGTTCCTTTGATAAAAGGTGATGAAATCTGTGAAAGAAATCCTAATTCAAAATTTATTATTGCTCAAAGTTTTCGCACCAATCCCTGCATGAAATATTCAGATATGCAGTGTGCATATACGCCTAGATATGCAGTGTATATATTCAAGCAATAAAGCATACTCAGGCTGGTTTGCTGAATTTAATAAAGGCCTTCACTAAATATGTTAAAATTTTATTTAGAATTTGTGGTCAAATGGTCTTTTCTTTTATTTCTCACCCTCAATATGCTTTTTATTCTTCATTTTATTAGTTTATCCGTTTATTCACTTATTGTTTTTGTTTAAGGTTTTAAACCCCTAAAAAGAGCAAAAGGGAATGTTAATGTGAAATGAAATTCGGATGTTTTTTCTCTGCAAGATTTCAATTCGTCGTGAGGATTTGAAATTATGTTAAAAGAATTCAGACATATTTATGTCTAAATGTCAGGCTGAGCTCAAACATGGAAATATTTAGTAAACCTTGATAGAAATATTTCTCATGTAATGATAAAAAAATATCAATTCCGTTAAATATTTGCAGCATGTGCATGAAAGGACTGAATGCCGCGTAAAAATGCTTGAATGGCGGATAAATGTGAATTGTATGAGAATTATTTAAATTTAATGGGAAATAGGTTGCATTTTCAGAGGATGTTGGCTGTTAGTGTATAGTAGGTTAGGCAATAGGTTATTTTTACCGGGGGAGGGGTCAGGATTATTTGGGGGGGGGGACAAAGCATTGTATTTCCCGAGGGAAATTTAGTAATCTTAGTTATTCACCATGCAATATCTACCATAATACAACTTGTCTTGTTTTCACCTGATTATCTTTAACAAAATATGATGAAAAACAACTAAATTTTATTCTCTGTTTTTCCAAGATTTATTTTCATTTCTACTTTACTGAAATCTAATATTTTTGAAAACAACCCTTTGAAAACCTCGAGTCTTCTGTCTATTTTATATATTTTTCTTTATTTGGTTGTATTAGGTTTCATATTGGATTTTTTTAACTTTAATCTTCTATTTAATTTGGTTTTATTGCTAAAAAAGTTCTTTAATGTTAATTTAATCTAGAATCTCTTAGAAAAGATTTCTCAAAATTTTATTTTGAAATTAATTTTCAATTTTAATTAGATTTTGATTTTGAAAACTGCCAAGAAACCTTTTAGGGTTGTAAAATTGTATCAGAGAAGAAATAAATTTTCTTCAGATGAGGAGATTTATGGGGGGAAATTGAATAGGATTTTTAGATGGAAATGGTTTATTGAGTGGAATGGTTATAATGGAAAAGGCTTAAGAGAATCATTCAAAGATTGGGCCTGATTCAATTCTCTTTCAATTTTGTAATATTTTATTATTTTTTGGTTTTATACATTTTCTATTTTTCTTGTTTTTAGTTTCCGAAAACTAAATTAATTCCACTGAACTTTTCCTGATTCCTGTTCTAATCCTGGTGTCCTGATTCCTGTTCTAATCCTGGTTTCCTGATTCCTGTTCTAATCCTGGTTTCTCCTGATTCCTGTTCTAATCCTGGTTTCCTGATTCCTGTTCTAATCCTGGTTTCTATTTTTTAGGAGCTCCTGTTTTGTGAGACCTGTGACTCAGTGTTCTGTACTACATGTACAGGAGGGGGGCACAAGCCAGGGGGTGCAGGGAGCACTGCCCCCTCCACTGCAGATCATACTGTAATCCCCTTTTCTATTGCAATCAAGAGAATGTCTGAGATATTGATCTATAAAGCAAATGAATGCACAGCTAAGGTAAATTTATCTTTTACTTCTTTCTGATAATTGGCATTTCGGTCTTTCATTCTTCCTCTCAGTTATGCACCTGTTCATTCATTTATTTATTCATTTATTAATTCATTTATTTAGTCATTTATTTAGTCATTTATTTATTCATTTATTCATTTATTTATTGACCTGTTCATTCATCTATTCAATCATCCCTTCTCATTTACTTCTAAAATCTACGTTAAATATGAGGTTTAACTGAAATGAATTTCTTCTTGATCGTAGGATTTCTCAAATCTAATCTTTTTCCAATATATTATTCATCTACTTTAAGCTCGCTGAGTGCTCTTTTATAAATTGAACAAGACTGAATTTAGATTTCTCTCAGTTTAAATCATTTATCATTTATTTTTTGATTTATTAATTATTTAGAATTCCTTTCTTTCTAATCTTCTTAAATCTTATATTTGATCCAAATTTGTGGTATTTAATATTTTACATAATTTCTTTTAGTATTTTTATTTCAATTTACAGGGTCTTTCAACATAATTTTATTTGCCCTCCATTTAGAGAGCTGAATGTCTTGACAACTGTACCCTATAAATCTTAAGTGAAATGTATCAAGTGTTGACTATTCTTTTATTATTGCTATTATTTTCTATTGCAGATTTATGCAGAAAAAAAAGGAGAAATTTTTTTTTAAATTTTGAATCCGATAAAGAGCTGGCCGGTACCGTTGTGAATTTTATCTACAGTCTCTTTAAATATAATGGAATTTCTAATACAGTCCCTTTAAATATGATTTCCAATTTTAGTTGAATTCTGCAAATGATGCTGTAACTGCCGAGATTCATAGGTTGGATCATAATGCAGACGAATCATTCAACATCGTTAACCAGCTCTTCGAGGAGGTAAACTATTTACTAGGTTAGCTAGAAGAATGGGGTCAAGCTTCTGAGAATTTATAAATGACTCGACTTAACTTTTGGGATTGCTTTTAACAATGGCGATGAATTGAAATGAAATTTGATTTAATTTATTTTTGCAATAAATAGAAAAATGAAATATGATAAATATGATATATTCAAATGAAATTTGATTTATTTATTTTAACAATGTTTAGTATTATTTTGGATAAATATATTAACTTGTTAAGCGATGAGATAGATATTTTCAAGGGGAAGGTTTTCTAGTGTTGAGTGGAAATTGTTCAATTTGTTTACATATCTAGGTTTGTAATTACTGGTTTAGTTTTTATCATGAACTTTAATTCAATCTGACAATTCATGATCAAAAGCAGATTTAGATCTTATGATTGGTGTCCTTTAAATCTACATTCTTGAACTTGGTCTAATATCTCTTTATCTTTGGTTTAGAGCAGAAATTTATAAATGTTCCATCTAGGAGTAGGGCTGATTTAGGACATATATTTCACTTTCATTGATCTAGAAAGGATATTTCTCTATTCTTGATCTAGTACATATGTTTCTCTATCCTGGATATAGGACGTATATTTCTTTATCCTGGATCTAAAACGGATACTTCTCTATCCTGGATATAGGACGTATATTTCTCTATCCTGGATATAGGACGTATATTTCTTTATCCTGGATCTAAAACGGATATTTCTCTATCCTGGATCTAGAACGGATACTTCTCTATCCTGGATATAGGACGTTTATTTCTTTATCCTGGATCTAAAACGGATATTTCTCTATCCTGGATCTAGAACGGATACTTCTCTATCCTGGATCTATAACGGATACTTCTCTATCCTTGATCTAGGACGTATATTTCTTTATCCTGGATCTAGAACGGATATTTCTCTATCCTTGATCTAGGACGTATATTTTTTTATCCTGGATCTAGGACTAATATTTCTCTATCGTTGATCTAGGTCGGAACTTTATCTATCCTTCATCTAGGACGTATATTTATCTGTCCTTGATCTAGGACGTATATATCTCTTTCCTTGATCTAGGTCGGATTTTTCTCTTTCCTTGATCTAGGACTTATATTTCTCTATCCTTGATCTAGGACGTATATTTCTCAATCCTTGATCTAGAACGGATATTTCTCTATCCTTGATGAAGGGAGTATATTTCTCTATCCTTGATGTAGGGCGTATATTTCTCTATTCTTGATGTAGGACGTATATTTCTCTATCCTTGATGTAGGACGTATATTTCTCTATCCTTTGATCTGGGACGTATATTTCTCTATCCTTGATCTAGGACGTATTTTTCTCTACTCTTGATCTAGTACGTATATTTCTCTATCCTTGATGTAGGTCGTATATTTCTCTAAATCTCTATCCTTGATGTAGGACGTATATTTCTCTATCCTTGATCTGGGACAAATATTTCTCTATCCTTGATCTAGGACGGATATTTCTTAAAATTTGATCTAGGATATAGGTGGGACGAATTGTTAAGCCCCAGGGTGGGTTACTTTGGGTTTAATTTATCTCTGATATATCTGTATACAAACAGAATCCAGAATATTTTAATTAGTGAAGTTTATGTTTATTTGTGTCTAGGATTCATATTTTCTAATAAATCCTTCTCCCTACACTGTAAACCAAGATTTACACACTCTCATTCAAAAATCGAGCAGTATTTTGGCAATTACCCCTTTAAACTTAAAATAGAAACAAGCGTTTTGTAGTTTTAAAATGTATAAGTGAGTTGGTGAGGTAAAACCAAAGGCCAAAGCGTTGTGGTTAAAGTCTATGCTGACTTAAACTTTGAAAAAATAAGTTTGAGAATTGTCTAGATTTCAGTTCCTAGTTTTGAAGTTTAATTGCCTTCTTCTAAACTATTTATTTCTGATACTGTTACCATCGGTGGAGGAAAATAATGCCCGGTGGGGCGGAGACCATTTGCTCGGATGATTATTTTTACATAAATTGATTTTAGGCATCTGCCGCAGTAGATCGGCGGAGGGAGCAGGTTCTGGCGGAGGTAAAACGGCGGAAGGATGAGAAGAAGAAGGTTCTAGAAGAACAGCTCAAGATTATACAGACAGAGAAATCACAAGTTGATAAAGATGTTCAGGTCTGTTTTCTTAAATCATATTTTTATTCGTGTTCAAAGATATATATAATTTTATCTTTTATTTCGTTGAATAATACATAAACTAAACGGAAGTAGATTAAAGTATGACGATGTCAAGATCCACCTTGAAATTACAGAATTAATAGAACCGTTTCTTCACATTCGAGATCCTAAACATTTGAACAGATTTTTCAGTTTTCAATTTTTCAACCTTTATAGCAAAATGGGACGGAAAAAAATTGTCTTGTATTCAGGGGCGTATACACGAATATACAAGGGGTGAGCCAATTCAAAATTTTCTCTCCATTTTCCATAATTCCCATCAACGCATTAAACGAGAGCAACTTTCCAGGGGTTAGCCATAATAATACACTATAATACCTCTAGGGCTCATCTTTTCTAGCAATATAGCCGATGAAAGCTAGGTCCCTTTTAATTTAAATGTTCATCGTAACCTTTTCTATCGTAAGTGTCTAAAATAATTTTTCTCTAGGCTATGAAGCACCAAGTAGAGGTACGGAATATTACGAAGAAAATCAGCCAGCTTAACACTAAACTTGATACTGTAAACCAACTAGCAGAACCTAGAGAGAACTCCTATATAGAGTTTCAGAGGTCAGATCTACACTTCCAGGAGGTCGTTCAGAGGATGTTGGCAGACGTTGGACAAATCAAGACGTCAAAGACATTCCCAAGTCTGTGCCGGGTAACAATGGAGACTTCCATTTCTAATCTAGAGTCGACTGCGAAGCTTCAAACTATCGACTATCATGGCAAAATACAGGTAAAACACTCTAATCTAGAGTCGACTGCGAAGCTTCAAACTATCGACTATCATGGCAAAATACAGGTAAAAAACTCTGAAGTTTGGTGGAAAACAAATAACTTTTTCATTCAATTCTATAAGTAGATTACGGGGTATGTAAACTCATGTCAAAATTAACATCTTCAGTACATTAAGTCAGTTTTTATATATTCTTAACATGCTATTTTTATTATTTTGGAATGAGTTTGGAGATATTTTAGAAATAATATTATTAAGTCTCATGTCTACTGTGTGCTGAATAAGAATGTTATTCTATTCTACTCTATTCTATTCTATTCTATTCTATTCTATTCTATATTATTTATCTTTCATGCTTTCATTTCTTATCTTTACATTTTCTTTATCTTTAAATCTGTCCCACACAGTTCACCCTACCTTCCCCTTGTTTCCTTTCTTCTCCCTTCCTCCCATCTCTATCCCCTATCCTCCCCTTGTTTCCCTTCTCCCTTCCTCCCCTCTCTCTCCTCACCGAAATAATTAGTTCCGCTCTCTCTCTCTCTCTCTCGCTCTCTTCAAATTCCTGTCTTTTTATCTTCAAATCTTACTTTTCTTATCTTTCTGTGGTACCTTGTCTTCCTGTATACAAATGCTTCTGTTACCTTGTCTTCTTGTCTCTCAATATTCCAGTAACCTTGTCTTCCTGTCTCTCAATGCACCAGTTACCTTGGCATCCTGTATCTTAATACTCCAGTTACCTTATCTTCCTGTCTCTCGATGCTCCTGTTACCTTGGCTTCCTGTCTCTCAATGCTACAGTTACCTTGTCTTCCAGTCTCTCAATGCTCCAGTTACCTATTCATGCATGTGTCTCAATGCTCAAGCTCCCCTGTCTTCCTGTCTCTCAATACTCCAGTTACCTTGTCTTTCTGTCTCTCAATGCTCCTGTTACCTTAGCATCCTGTATCTTAATACTCCAGTTACCTTATCTTCCTGTCTCTCGATGCTCCTGTTACCTTGTATTCCTGTCTCTCAATTCTCCTGTTACCTTGTATTCCTGTCTCTCAATACTTCAGTTACCTTGTCTTCCTGTCTCTCAATACTCCAGTTACCTTGTCTTCCTGTCTCTCAATACTCCAGTTACCTTGTCTTTCCGTCTCTCTATGCTCCAGTTACCTTGTCTTCCTGTCTCTCAATTCTCCAGTTACCAATCTTAATCATAATCCTGTCTTATTCTGTTTGTCATATTACTATTTTGTGTTGCCACCCTGTCTATCATCTTCCTGTCTATCTGTCTATGTTTCTATTTCTGTGTCCAGTTTTGATTGTGCGTAAGATATCCCTTTTAAAGAAAACTATTCTTCAACTCATTCTCAAATCTTTATATATGTGTATATAGTATATATACAACTATGCTTATCTCACTATCTTAATTAATCTTGTCCAAATTCTGAATTCCCGCGGTTTTTTAAATCTCTTGTTTTCATCAAATTTGATTTTTATAATTCTTGGAAATAAACTGTTTGGATCGGAGTGTTGTCTCTGTGTTTTTGACATGGAAGAAAATTCGAGGTTTTGGTAATGTTTTTATGAAACCTTGAAGATGCAATAAACTTTTTCATGATTTATAACATTTACACAGACAGAATAATTCTTGTTGTATTGGGTAGGGTCCTGAATATAGGTTAAAAAACCATGGATCAAACCAAGGTTTGAATTATGGAATTTACTCTGGGGTATTGGCTATTTTCTACAGTGTTCGGCATTTGTATTAATACACTGAAGACGACTTTTCTACTTCAGTTTTGAATTCTAACAAATTACAAGTTTTCAATTAAACAAAGAGAAGCTTGGTGGAAACCAAAAATTGAAATTGCAAGTCGTTGTATTGGTATATTCGATGAGGACTGTATTTAGCTAATTATGCTGATATACAGTGTAGAACAAGATTAATTAGTTTTTGAATTTAGGAGTTTGGTGGAGATCCTGTATCAGCTGAGGTGGTGAACGACAAGGGAGACAAGATCAGCACCAAGCTGGTGGACAAGGGAGATGGAACCTACGAGATCAAGTTTACTCCCAACTGCGAGGGAACCTTCTGTCTCAAGGTGAAAATATTTGACCGACCGGTCAAGGATTGTCCACTCTTCTTCGACGTGACCGAGCACAACTCTCCGGTCCTTAGTTTTGGGTCCAAGGGTTTAAAGGAGAAGGGGTTCGTCCAGCCATGTTCTCTAGTTCTTGACAGCAGAGACTTCTTATATATAGTTGATACTGGAAACAGTAGGATCAAGGTTCTCTCAGCAAACCTGGATTTCCAGGCTCATGTGCTCAACGAGAGTTTAGAGGGACGGAGTGTAACCGGAGTTTGTCTGGGATCATCCGGAGACTCTCTGATCACAGTTAACTGGAGAACTAAGACTGTGACGGAGATTAGTATGGAGGGGAACACTATTGGAGCATTCTCTCATGACGACTTTATTGAACCCATTGCTGTTGCGATTAATGATGATGGAGATGTACTCGTAGCTGACAATGGTGTCGGAGCCGTCATGGTTTTCGAGTCCTGCGGCAAACTAAAGAAGACCATCGGCAAAAAGGGCGGGAAAAAGGGAGATTTTAAGGAGATGTCGTCTTTGTGTATAGGTCCAGGAGGAGAAATAATTGTTGCAGATACGAGGATTATTGTTTTCAATGCACAGGGAGAGTTTCTCCAGGAGATTGGAGGAGGTGGAGGAAAGGAAGGAGGACGGGGTAGATACTCAGGGGTTGCTGTGGATAGAGACGGAATGATCCTGGCTGCAAGGATGGAGAAAACACGGAGTTATATCCAGGTGTTCAACCTCACCGACGGAACTCAATACTCTATGATCGACAGTCACGGTTCGAAGCTGAAGAGACCCACAGGTGTCGCAGTCGGGTGCCGCGGCGACGCTCACGCATATGTTGTCGACATTGGGCACGATTGCGTTCTAAAATATAGATATAAATAATTATGTTGCATCACACTGAAACCAGGAAAACTCTCTTTCTCTCTCTCTCTCTCTACATATAAATATATATCTTAGTTAAAAGTTAGAATGAAATTATAGATAAAATATATGACAGACGGGAGCTAGTAAATAGTTTAGCTACGAGATCTTTGTGGGACGTGGGTTCAGTATTTTATGCACACCAAATTTAATACGGAAGTAAGATAATATGCTTCGTTTGTTGTTTACATTTTATCTATAATCAAAAATATATTAATACAGTACTTAGACGTTGTATGATTAAAAGTGGAACAAAACCTGTTTATTAAATGTCCAAGTAAATGGCGTTTGAACCAATTAAACAAAATATTAATGCCAAAAGTTTTCTGTTTTTATAGTTTCCCGTATTTTTTATTTTTATTTTCATATCACATCATTTTCAGCATAATACAAATTTTTGTGATTATTTTAATTATTATGTACTTTTTCTTGTACTTTAATGTATTTAGTGTACTTCAAAGCTTTGTTGTGCAATTATTACATTATGTACTTCATGTACTTACAGAATTCATTCAGTATTTTAATAAATCCCGTGTCAGGGCGAATCTTAAAAAATGTAAAAATAAAATTTTGGATTCGTTACCACCCTGTAGCCTCCAGTACTTAGAATATTAAATATTATTCTAGTCCACACTTTTCAAATTATTTAAGTGAATATATTTTTTATCCAAAAGTATTTTGGTTTTTTATTTATGATGAGTGAATAAGAGAGAGTACCGAATACTGAGTTTTGTTAAAAACAGATAATTCAGCTTTCTGGATTTTAGCAAAAAAAAAAGTGGTAAAGGAATTGAGTCATTTGCCACAAACTTTTATTTTCTATTAAGTGTCCTAGACTTTAGGTATTTCCAACAAAGAATTATGTTACCTCAAATAAAATAAGTTAAAATATAAAAAGTTTACTTTGTCAGGATAAAAAAAAATATATGGATTGGTTAATTTGGGTTTGCGGTAAAAAAAAATGCATTTGCACCTGTAACCTAAACTTTAATTATATTGGTCAACAGAACTCAGATGGCAACACTAGAAGTAAGGGTAGGAAAGGATATGCTAGGCATCTAGATGTCTCTCTTTTCACCAGGGGCGGAGAGCGGCAAATAAGAGTTGTTGCTACAAGCTGTATTGACAGGAAGTTTCTACCTGCCTTCAAATCCATATATATTTAATCTAGGGATCTGATAGTCTGCCTAAAACTGTGATCTAATACAGGGTTAACCAGAAAGGACGAGACTTCAGAAACGACTGTACGAAATTTCTACTGTCTGTTTCTTTATATTTATCATTCTTTTAAAACTTAAATGCAATTGAAAGACTATATATTTATTGCAGAATACTTAGTTTAACCTTGGGATCCTCATATCATATTAATCGTCTTTCCAGTCATATTCTTTGTGGGTAACCCTGTACCTCAGACTTTGCAACCTGATGGTTTTGAGTTTCAAACTTTGACTATCTCGCAGATTTTTAATCTCAAATGTCTACGGCGTCAGGATGCGAAGATATGATGATTAGAATATTTGTGTTTGTGACGGTTATCAGTTCCTTTCTTCTTTTTCATCTGGAAAAGTCAAATCTCTCGTTGGTCAAGGCTATATTGAGACATTAGATTGATTCCCCTTTATAAATCTAGATTTTGGCAAACACTGTCCACATTTAGTCCACATTTAGCAACATTCAGATAATTGAAATATACAGGGAGAACCACATCACATTCAATTCAAGTCAAAATACATTTCAATTAATTTTACGTCAAAATTAATCAAGGTCTAAAGCAAAATCTAAATTTTTAAATTTACATGTCCAACGTTGCGGGTTGGTGAGGTAAACCCAATTCGATGCGACACTTTAAAGTCGCCGCGGTCTTAAAATCTGATGAATAGCTTAAAGTTAGCTATATATCTGTGATATGTAACCTAACAATCTGAAGAACAAAACTAGAAAAGTTACAAGGTGGCAAAGTCGTAATGGTAATTCCATTTAAAACTGACGACTTAACCCTTGTGTTAAACTAGAAGGGGATGAATTCAAATTTAAACTACAGAAGTTTAAATGGTTTGAAGCGGAATTTTCATGAAAATAATTTTATTTTTTTTTACAAATTTATTTTTTATCAAAATACTGAGAGTCGCAAGAAGCATTTATAGTCAAGCGATGAAAACGCTAAATTCATTTGATTTTTTAGTCATAGAATATTTAAAACTTGTTTAAAAATTTAACTTAACTGAATAACTATCCAATCCATTTATCTAACTATCTAAATATCTATCCAGCTATCCAACTGTCTAACTATCTAACTAGCTATCCAGCTATCCAATTGTCTAACTATCCAACTATCTAACTATCCAGCTATCCAACTGTCTAATTATCCAACTATCTAACTATTCAGCTATCCAACTGTCTAACTATCCAACTATCCAGTTATCCAACTGTCTAACGATCCAACTGTCTAACGATCCAACTATCTAACTATCCAACTGTCTAACTATCCAACTATCCAACTATCTACTATCCAACTATCCAACTATCCAGCTATCTTACTATCCAGCTATTTAACTATTTAACTATATAACCATCAAACTATCTATCTATGAAACTAACTATCCAACTATGAAACTATCCAACCATCCAACTATCCTATCTAATTATCTAACTATCCAAATATCCAACTGTCTAACTATCCAACTATCTAACTATCCAGCTATTCAATTATGACCAAACATCGAACTTTCGAATATATATCGAACTATTTTCTATCCAATTATCTATCTAAAAAACCATCTATCTATCTATTTATCTATCTATCTATCCAACCATCTAACTATCTAACTAACTATCTACCTATCCTATCCAACTATCTATCTATCGATCCAAGTATCCTGCAGTCTAGTTTCCCTGGATGGCTAGGCTATGAATGAATATATATTCTTGTAAACACTACGAGTGTTGTTATAGCTTTACAAATAGATAAAATCCATATTTGGAACTATTCAACCATTTACCTTCACTATTCAATTTATTTATAAAAGTTTACTCCATCGACATACATACTGGGTGTCCCAATAAACATGGAATTGAGTGATAAACTTGAAATCGTCTTCAAGTTAAAAAAGAAAGAAATATATGTCAAATTCTTTCTGCAATTATTATTGTACGACACCTGAGCTTTTCAAAATGAGGTCTACCGTCTTGGTATTTTGAAAAAAGAGGGAATTATTTTGGCCATATTTAATCGAATTAACGTTGATAAACCATTTCAATTGAGGTTGAATGAAAAGTCGTTATGTTTATATACCTAATTATAATAAACATTTTGGGAATTTTTTTATGAATATAAAACCTGATTGTATGTGTGTGACTGTGTTCTGAATCATATATTTTAAAAAATTTCTGAACTCTTCTCCGACACTCCCTGGTAAACAAGCAAATAATGTGACTACAATTTCTCCATTTCTATTTCTGTAAAACAGAATTTATTTTAAAACTAGCTCAATTACCCAGCATTGCCCAGGATACTCATAGCTTCTCCCACCGCTTCAAAACATGATTTTATTAGTGCCCGGGGTTGCCCGTGGAATCCAAAAAAATTCCATAATTTTTTAACCTATGAAGAGACCTGGCGTATACTCCCTTTAATAAACCAACGAAAAGACCGGGCGTGCACTCACTTTAATAAACTCATGATGAGACCTGGCGGACACTCAATTTAATAAACTCATGAAGAGACCTGGCGTACACTCACTTTAATGAACTCATGAAGAGACCTGGCGTACACTCAATTTAATAAACTCATGAAGAGACCTGGCGTACACTCTCTTTAATAAACCCATGAAGAGACATTGTTCACACTCTCTTTAATAAACCAATGAAAAGACCAGGCGTACACTCACTTTAATAAACCGATGAAGAGACCTGGCGTACACTCCCATTAACAAACCAATGAAGAAACCTGGCGTACACTCCCTTTAACAAACCCATGAAGAGACCTGGGATACAATCCCTTTAATAAACCCATGAGGAGACCTGGCGTACACTCCCTTTAATAAACCCATGAAGAGACCTATTGAACCTATGAACCATTAGGGAACATCATCTTGAAACCAGAAGAAGCATTTGCCCCATGCATATAGAATAGATGGACAGATAGATAGATAGATTGGTAGATTAATATATAGAGAAATGAAAAACAGATGTATAGATAGACAGATTGGTAGATAGATAGATAGATAGACAGATTGTTAGATGATAGATAGATAGATAGATTTTCTGGCTGGTGCAGGTGACTTGCTTGGTCTATTACAATCCATATTCTAAACTTTCCAGTGTTCTCCACCCTTCAAGAATCTTTTTTATTTTATTATATAGTTCTTTAGTGTTTTAAATTTCTTATCAGAATATCCTTGGTTTAAATATAACCTACCCAACTCTACTCTCCTACATATAGCTTGAACTAATTGTCGGGTGTTTAACCACTAAACCAGAGATTATCATTAACTCTAATACTCCCAACAAACAAGGGTAATTAATGAGGCTAATTACAGCTTCACATAATTAAAAATGAGTATCTAAATTTTATTTAAAGCATACTCATAACTAACTTGGGAACCCAGCTTTCCCTGGAAAATTAGAATTTAGCTTTAAAGGTTGACCAATTCAGCTTAAAATCTTTAAACCCAGCTACGAACATTCCATTGGCTCTTATGTGTTCCTCAATTAAGATTGACCGATTGAAGCAAATCGGTCAACTGTTGAGAGGTTTAATGAGTTCGGACCTACGAAACAAACATAAAACAAACAAACAGACAGACAAACAGAAATTACTACTTATTTTATACTGTTAATAGAGATCATAATTTATTAATAATAGTATAAAGTACCAACCTGACCTACTACCAATCTAACCTACTAATAAACTGAACTACTAACAATCTGACCTACGACCAATTTGACCTACTATTAAACTGATCTACTACCAACCTGACCTCTATCAAACTGACCTACTACCAATTTGACCCACTATAAAACTGAACTACTACCAACTTGACCTACTACCAATCTGACCTACTATTAAACTGAACTACTACCAACCTGACCTACTTACAATTTGACCTACTATTAAACTGAACTACTACCCATCTGACCTACGACCAATCTGACCTACTATTAAACTGAACTACTACCAACCTGGCCTACTTTCAATTTGACCTTCTATTAAACTGACCTACTCCCAACCTTACTGTCTACAAAACTGACGAACTTTAAACCTGATCTACTCCCAAACTGACCTACTCCCAACCTCACTATCAACCTGGCCTACTACAAAACTGACGAACTTTAAACCTGATCTACTCCGCATCTGACTAACAAAGTCAACCTGACCTACAACCAACCTGACCTACTTCTACCTTATCTATTTCCAGCATTACTTGGATAATATATTTTTTGTTCTGGGGAGCTCTTTAGGACAAACAAGATAACTGCATAATTCACTTTAAACCTTATCTCAGAATATTTTGTCATTAATACTCCCCTTCCTCTACATCATTTTTAAGAAATCTCTCTTTATCGACAAAACGGAGAAGAAAAAATTTTAGAAGAAAATTAAACTTTTGAAACATTTCAAAATTAATCCTAAAAAAATTCTAATAACAATATTTAAATGATTTTTTAGATTCTTTT